CACTATCAATAGTTCAAAGAAGTCAAAGACAAGTCACAAAATTCTTTCCAAACCTTTACAACAGTAGCCACTATTCCCCACTCACGTATTCATCAATTTCGAAATACCCATAAATTTCTTGTCTTCCACAACTTCGATAAAAATGTAAGTGGTTAGTAGCATTCTATTCTTCAAGCTCGAGTTCTTCTTAGCACAATGCAACTTTCCCCACCGATGCTCAAAGGAGGAAGACTATGAGGGCGATCTCCGCACCAAAGTGTCTCATCTTCTGCTTCACTGGCTTTATAACCGGGTCGATGTTTACCATATGCTCAACTATTTCCGGACGTATCCCTGTTAGTTCATCTATTGAAAAGGCAAAAACATCCGCGTATTCTGTTTTGTAGATTATTTTTACCAAGTACAATCAAAGATCTCCATCAGGGCGTCTTCTCAAGGAAGGTGATTCAGAGCTTCGCTTGTTAAATAGTTGTCGTAACGCACAAAAATGGAAAATAAAGTCCTACACATCCTAACAAGATGGATTGAGTTAATTTTAAACTAATCTTAACTTAGAATATAAAAGCAATTTACTAAAGACGCTAACTTCACTTAAAGACTAAAACTTTACCTAGACCGAAGTCTTCTACACCCGAGAAAAATCTAAAAAAAAAAAAAGAGAAATAGCCACATGTATCACAACTATTTTACTTCAAAAGATTCGAACTTTAACGACCAAATTACACTCGATAAGCAAGATAAAACAAAAGATATCAACTTTAGCTAAAAATGAGTCTAAACACATAACTCCCGCCAAGACACCACATCCATTTTGAAATTCATATGCGCTCATGTTTGTTAAATTCTCGTCGAGGTTGTGTGAGATAAAAACTTACAACGGGATATTTGTAGGACGCTAATTAAGATGAATAAATGGACTTATTGGGGGTATTATTATACTTAAAAATTCATGTTTTTGTTTAAAAATTCTATTTAGAGGTCCAAAAACTGATATTTGGTTTATTTTGTATTTGTTTGGGTTTCTTTCTCTCTTATGTTCTTGACTGTTATGTCTTCTTTTCCTGTCCTTTTTCCTATTCTTTATGTTCATGTATTCATGGAGCTGTATGTTTGGGATGGAATACGAGACGAGGGTAACTTTTGTACTTTGTAAGATGAGAGGAGTAGAAATTTAGATAGAAATCTTATGACGATGTGGCTGGATTGTCGCCGAACGAGCTGGATAAGTCAAAATTAATGGAGCGACGAAGATCGGTGAAAGGTCCGAAAGATTAGGGGTGCAAATTTAGGCACTATATTTCCTCTCTATCTCTATTGGCAAGCATAAGGAATTACCTTTTTGTCATGTATGCTTCAAATGAGCCTTATGACAGTCTATAGATACGAAGCTCGGGATAATCGCAACAATTATTTCTAGTGATCTTTGATCTCAAGAACATGTGTCATTTCTCCCTAATACTTGTCATCCAACTGCTTGTGAAAAAGTATATTTTTGGCATAAGTTCAAAAATAAATATATTGAAAATATGTTCCTACAAGTACAAGAATTTTATAAAAGGGAAGTTCTTTTATTTATATTTATATTTATATTTATATTTGGTTTATATATATATATATATAGGGGCTGGTTCAAATAAAAACTATGTCTGGTGTGAGAACCGTGAGAACCATATTTGATGCTATTTTTAATTGTGTATGATGCTATTTTTAATATTACATGGTGCTATCATTTTCATAAATGCTAATAAAAATTTTGTTGCTATTTTTAATCAAATACATCCTAGTTAAAAATAGCACTAAAACACAATTAATCATAGCACTACATACAATTAAAAATAGCGGTTCTCACGGTTCTCACGCTAGGACTTGGTTCTCATTTGAACCACATCCTATATATATATATATATATATATATATATATATATATATATATATATATATATATATATATATATATATATATATATATATATATATATATATATATATATATATATATATATATATATATATATATATATATATATATATATATATATATATATATATATATATATATATATATATATATATATATATATATATATATATATATATATATATATATATATATATATATATATATATATATATATATATATATATATATATATATATATATATATATATATATATATATATATATATATATATATATATATATATTAAGGTTGCATGAGCTTATTGGTCGAATCTTGTAGGAAATCTTCATGGATGGCAGTTGGAAAGGAAATGCATAGAATCTCCTCTTGATCTTCATGGATGGCGGTTGGAAAGGAAATGCGTAGAAGATCGAGTGAAGATCAAGAGGAGATCAAGACAAGATTCACTTTCCATGTTTCAATATTTTATTAGGAACGAAAATCAAGAAAGAAGGAAACAACTTGGAGAAGACTCCATGCCTAAGGGAGTTGTATATATGCCCTACTTGAAGATCGAATTAAGGTTGTTGTCGTCTTCATTATTCACGCAATATTCGAGCTTCAAGTTTTTCTTTTTTTTAGTACACGATTCAGTTTTCGGTATTCTTACATATCAAAGAACTGAAGTGGTTTTGTTTTCTTTTCTTTGTTTTGATTCAGACATTCTCGTGTTTAACACTTAGGGATTAAGTGTTGGTTAGAAAGTCCACGGGACGTGACCGGAGAAGTAATTAATAGAATCGTGTGTAGTTGTGGCTAGGCTAGAAGGGAGTTCGAGTCGTGTAAGTCCAAACTATACAAGTGCGCACAAACAGTTTATCAATGAAAGATCTCTGAGGGGAAGTGTGACGCTTCCCTGAAGAGTCGTTGGTGCTCAACCGCTAGCTTATCTTTTTAAATTTATATAATTGAAGCAGCAAATTAATATATGCACACACTTTTATTTTACTAACAAAATAGTCTAATGTTATATGATAAATAAAAAAGTATTATTTTATGTCAGTCTTTTATTTAATGTATATTTATAAAAAAAATGTATGAGAAACTTGTAGGATATTCATTATCTGTAAGCTAGTATTTTCCTAAAGATTACTATAAATAAATTATAAATAAATATTTTATTAAAAAAAGCATAAAATAATGAAAAATGACATTTTTTTATATAGGTTTGAACCATTGCTTTTAGTAATATAAAAGTGGTTGTATACAATAATTTGAAGTATTAAATAGATTAGCTAAAAATATAAATTAGTAGGTTGACTCTTGAGTTATTGACACTAGAATAAAAATCATAATATTCATAATATGCATTTTTATTATAAGTATTATGTAAAAAAATAATAAGTTTTGTGGGTCAAGAATAAATTTAGGATTTAAAAGATATATTCTATCCATTCGAAACCGGAAAAATACGAAACTATCAATTTCGTGGTTGAAAATTTTCGATCTTTTATGTCATTAATAAAATTGATCTTTGAGGCCTCGAGTTAATAAAAATAAAATAAATAATAAAATTATTTATTTATAACATATTACAATTTCGTCAATTATTAAGTGTCATTAAACAAATTGGTTGCTGCCTAAGGCTAGAGCAAAACGGGCCTAAGCCTAGCCAGACGGGGGAGGGCTGTCCCAACAAAGGGTAACGGTTTGGGCTGTACTTTTGCAGACCCACTGAGAAACATGCTTACACTGGCCAGTCGAAAAAATTACACCCTTGGCATTTTCCTTCTCTTTATTACATTTTTAGACAATCGTGTCTACAATTTCATTTTTAACAATCTAAAGTTGTTTTGACAGTTTTATCATATACCTCCCTTTTTTTTTTCTTAATTTTAATTGTGTTGATTTATTTTGGTTTCCATTTTATTTTTCAAACTTTCCAAATACCACGTCTCTTCAACTTCTTTGATAGTTTCTTTTTCTTTTTTATAATGGGCAAAACCCGTTTAACTGGCCCGCTATTAGTAAAATACAATTAAAAAGAAAATGGAAGGAGAGAAAGGCCAATAGCCCGAAACATCTTCGTCACATCCTTGTTCTTCCGCGAACACACATCCCCTCCTTACACCTTCGCCGCAATCTCTCAACCTCCGGCGCTCGACCTCTGCCCACCGCCGATCGACCTTCGCTCTCCGCCGTCCGCCGCTCGACCCTCGTGATCTCCGCTCTCCGCCCCTCGGATGCTCCCACATCATCAATTAACCTCCACTACAGCAATCGTCATCGAGAAAACCCAAAGTTTGAGAGGTCAGGACATTGACCTAGGGTTTTCGGTGAGTACACACCTTTCTCCTACTCTGCATTTTTCCAGTTACCTCCAATTTTTTGTGTAAAAAAGGAACTCTTGTCGGATGATTGTGATAAATAATGTTTGCAACACTTACTGTGTTGGAAGGGAAATAGAGAAAAACTTCGTTGCCAATATTATATATAGATAATCAGAGTGTTGTCTATAAAGTTGTTGATCATCATATATATTAATTTTTAATGCATCCAACTCATGTTGTTCCTTGTGCACAGGAGAAGGAGAAGGAGATATTTGTTGTTTAAAGACCCACCGCCCGATCCATCATAAAAGCCCTTCCCAAATTCCTCACCTTTTCTTATCATGTCACCATCCACGTCATCATCCCTATTGTGTTTTTCCGCTACTTTTTTGGATAGAGATGATGAAGACCATTACTATCACGACATATATGTTGTGGATGTCTCAGGTCGACGTCGACGTGACAATGATATTCCGTCATTGACTCCCACGCTCCGGGTGAGCGGACAGCACTTTGGCGACATGTCATGTGTCACGAGTTCGGGATTTTTTCTGTTCAACTCGAATTTAAATCTCTTCCTCTCGGGTATGGAAGGTAAGGACGTGTCGAAAGAATCTGCAGATCCTCTTTGTGTCCGCAGAATCAACATCTCCAAATACCACCACAGCAGCACCACCAACACCACTTCCCGCGAAGAAGTCCCAGTGACGGCTGATCACACTATGGTGGAGCATGTGTGCCCATTGATTTCGAAAAAAAAGTACTTGCGAGTGCTCCCGACACCTGATGGCAAGATCATCGCCTTCTCGACTACGATCAGTCGCCCTGAACCCTCCACCACCACCACCACCACCACCACCAGCAGCGCACCACCTGTAGTGGATTTTGAGCTCTACCACCCAGACATGGATAGATGGGAGGCGCTACCCTCCATCCCCCGCGGCCTGGAGATCGAGCCAGGAAGCAGCAGCTTATACAGCTGCATTTCTCGCATCGTCTTGTACTGGTTCATGGGCGGGACGTCAATCTTTGCAGTGATGTGCGACGGTGGATTTATTTTTCATCTCGACCTGACCGCATCACACCGATCATGGACCTACAGTCCATGGCCCATCAGCGTGCGTACAAACCTCTCGTTTGGAGGCGGCAAGTACATCTACATCAGTGATGATTGGTGCTTGACTCATCATGGGGCCTGGCACTTAACTGGCCCCATGCCTAGCGTTCCCAGGTGGCAGTTGGAGAAGTTGTCGGCGAATAGAGAGGGAAAAAAAATGAGATTCGGGGTTCGGGACGTGGGCTCTGAGGGATTGCCGACCTCCTTCTACATTGTGGAGTCTACCTTTCTTGACAATACGATGACGGGGTGCAAGCTCAGCGTGTATGAGTACACGTGCAACGTTCATCCGTACCTGAAGAAGTTGTGCAAAGTGGAGGCTAAGCAAGAGGCTGTGACGGCCAAAATCGAGAAACGTTATGAGGTGGAGGAGAGAAAGGTGAGAGAAGCGCACAAAGGGGCAATGGAGATGAGGGAGGAGCTCTACAAGCTGATGCAGTTACACGCAATGCAGGAGTCTTGCGCACTGATAAAACAAGTGCCGGAGCTAGACTGCAAAGTCTCCAGCTCTTTGGAGTTCCTCCTTGTCACCCCCCCAAGTTTCAAGTCTTGGATTCTTGACGATGCTTGCTTTATTTGAGGTTCGTGCGTGCACTTGATTTGTTTTTCCTCTTCTTTTTTTTTTTTAGAGNTTTTTTTTTTAGAGGATGACATCTTTTGGTTGAATATTATAATGTTCTTGGTGTGCATGTGAATGTAATATTTGTGAATGCGTTTTTGTTGATTTTGTTATCTCATTACACTTGTTGGGACTAATGCAGCTTCGTGATTTGGTTGGTGATTATATAACATGTATATGACATGCTCATCATCCGCGCAGACGTGTCTATCGATGTTGACTTCTTTTTGCAAAGAGAGTAATATAACATGGTAGGGCCTCATCATATCATACTCTCAATTGTTGTCTCAATTGTTGTATTGCACTGTTTAGCTCCGAACAAAAAAGTTTGTAGCTAGAAGCCCTGTTGTTTGTTGTATGATAGTTAGGGCTCGAGTACTATTAAATATTGTTTGTGGTCTGTGGTATCAACCCTTTTTTATTTCCACCCTTCCATTTTTTGAACTTGGGGTGGCGCTAAGTGCTCGTTTCCAATTTAGACTCTTGATTCCGTTTGAGCTCATAATTGGCTAGTTACATGTTTTACAATAGGGTTGCAAATAAATTGAATCTCATTATATTCCATTTTGTATCTGATCAACTTCACAATTAAGTATTCTTGTTTATATCCAAAGTCTAAATTTGATTGTTATTCTCTTCGTTTGAAATATTTGAATATTCAGGCTGATTCTAATTTGCCTAGAAATATTTTTATCTTCTTTTTCTTGAAAAAATAATTGTTGCATACCATTAACTTCTAACAACACGGTAAGCATCTAGAGATTTTGGTCATCTTTTGTTAAGCATGTGGTCTTGTTTCTCTTTAGTTGATGGGAAAAATGGTTGGCGACTTGACCGGTTAAGCGGAAACCAATGACTTCCATTAAGAAGCCACCTTAGCCCCATAAGTCAAATAGATACGCGAGTCCACTACAGCTACACCGGGATCAGTACTTTGAACTACAAGCAATTCTTCTTTGTTAAGCCCTGTGATAAAAATCCATGAATTTGCGCTATGAATCATTTTGGTTATGACATTATTGATAAATTTATCATGAGATGACATGCCTGATTGCATGTCATGGAACGTTTGTGCAACTTTATTATCTGCATGCTCACACACGAGCGTAATGAAGGAAAAAGAATCAAATGTGCAGAGTCTTTAGTTCATTTGAGTTGCGTGTTCTTTACTTTCAATTGTTCTTTACTTTTTGTGCATGGGAAGCGGCATGAACTTTGTATTGGTCTTTTGTGAAGCACGTGGTGGTAAGCAAGGCGCCATTAATTAATTGGATATTTACATGACTGGTTTGTTTATCATTTGAGATGCTCAAGTTATGTAGTACAACTTTGCCGAACTTCATTGTATACTTGCTTATAAAGTATTGTAGTTAGTATTCTAGTTAGGCTTCAAGGTGGATTTATGTATGGTTGCTGATTTGCTTGGATTACATTATGCACTAATGTTCTAGGGTGTGATTAAGGTGGCTTAAGTTATGATGTACGTCATATTTTGGATGGTTCAGAAAAGGTGAAAATGTTTGCTCTGTGTATGCATGTTTGTGAGTGTGTGTTAGAAAAGAAAGTCTTATGCCTCCGACGAAAATTATGTTCGTTTTGCAAAGGTTGTGGGATATTATAGGTTAGGAATAAATTGACAAAAGCTAAAAGATGAGGGTTATTTAGAAAATAAATCCTTATTGAAGTTTGGAAAATCCAAATGTTAACTGTATTTTAATATATATATCACACACACATATAGTATTTACAACTCAATAATTTCATTTGGATTTTTCTTTTTTTTAATTTTGATCATATTATAATTAATTATATATGTATATATATGCATGCAGTCGGTTCAAATTTAGATTAAAATCCTTAAAAGTCGATGCAACCTTTTCAATCATCTTTGGAGGCTATTAAGATTCATGTTTTAAAGTAATAGCCAAATCTATATACCTCTACTTGTTAAAATCTTTCAGGAAAAATTGCATCATTCGTCAACTAATTATACTTGAGTTGCACTTTCGTCCTTTAATTATTATTTTTTTACTTTTGGTACACTATCATTTTTTTTGGCAATTTTCGTCCAAATCGAGGTTCCGGTGCTCATTTTTGCCGGAAAAGCTGATGTGGCGCACAATCCCACTGGGCACCACATCAGCTTTCCGGCAAAAATGAGCACCGGAACCTAATTTGGACGAAAATTGCCAAAAAAAATGATAGTGTACCAAAAGTAAAAAAAAAAATAATTAAAGGACGAAAGTGCAATTCGAGTATAATTAGTGGACGAATGGTGCAATTTTTCCAATCTTTCAAGCTTTGGTGAAAACAAACTTATTGACAATCAAGTCGAAAGTTTACATTCAAATGCATGTATAGTAATCGAAAGTTTACATTCAAATGTATATAATAGTAATTGTGTAATTCTTTAGAACACTCCTTGTGAAAACAAAACTAGTACGTACCCCGTGCGATGCACGGGAGAGAGATATTAAATGAATTATTTTCACAGGTTTTGTCCTTTTAAGTATGAGAAGGGTTATTATCCATTTTTCACCTATTTTAATCACTGTCAAGTCTCGTTTAAGTCTGAAAATAGTTATCATCTATTTTCCACCTCTTTTAATCACCGTTAAGTCTAAAAAAAAAGGGTTGTAATCTATTTTTCACATCTTTTAATCAGCGTTGTTTTATTAGTCAGAACATTAAACGTGAGCATGTTAGGGCTAACTTGTAAAATAATTAATATATTATCTCACTAACACATTTATACTAATATAAATTTAATTTTATTATATATATTTATTCCTTGATATAAGAGAAAATAATAATTTTACTTATTCTTATTCACTATATAGTAGTTAATTATTAAACTCTGTTTCCATATAATGTTATTATTATTTATAAAGTTATACAAGTTGCACGTCTTCTTATTCTTTTTATTTTATGTAATGAAATATATTTAATGCACGTTGGTATTATTTATATAAGTAATTAATTTAAAATATGTAAATAAATTTAAAATTAAATAATGTATAAATAATGTACAAAATATACACATATATTTTTTTAAAATTTAATTTTGTGTACTAATTAAACAACACTCAATCTCTTCTAATATCAATATTTTTCTAATTTGCATTGTAATGATTATTCTTATTATATATATAGATTAGAATTTTTGCGACACCAACCAAACTAAGTATCACAACAACCAAGTAACAATTATGAAAAAAACCATAACACAATAACTATCAATTAAATTTGGTAATAGAAAAATTACATACATATATATAAATATATGAGGATTCTATATTTCTATTAACTGATGTATACACCACGTGTATATTTTGTTAAGGTATATTGGAATGTTCAATTTCATAGCATGATGATAACAATTAGTCTTAAAAAATCAAAAATCTTATTGAAATGCCATATTTTTCTGTTAAAAAAATAAGTTCCATAAAAAATAATTATATCATATCAAATTCATTGTGTAATTGAACAAATTTCTATAATGAATCCCGATTTTCTGCACAACCTCCACATTTTAAGAAAATCAATTAATGTTGGCCCGTTTTTGCTAAGAAAATAATAAATAAATAAATTGTAATTAGTGACAAGTAATTAATGATGAGAGAATTTGACCATATCTGTTTTTGAAAATCGTAACAGAAAAACAAATATTAAATAAAACTGTATAATATGGAAATAGTAATGACAATAAATGTTGTTGACTTTTCTAGCTACTAAATTTGGTAAATAGGACTTCCTTTAATATAAGTATAGATGTATTACTAAAACTTTTCATATTCATATCAAGATACATCGAGATACCGTTTGAAATACCTTATATTCCAATTTGTAACAACATGAAACTTGTTAGCATAGAAGTATCCAACCCAATTTGTAACAACATGAAACTTGTTAGCATATAAGTATTGGATATAACAATTCTTGGGTAATTATTTCATATAGTGCAGGAGTGAAAGAAAGTTAAAAACTAAAAGGGGCATATGATGCGTGAAGCAAATAATAAATGAGATGCACCACATATTATTTAGTCCAAAAACACAAAAATGAAATATAACATATGCTAAAGTAAAACGCCTCGAAAATTAATTCAAATCATAATCTTGAATGCAAGTCAATTAAAATTTTTACACGCTGAGGACTGATTTCTATTTTGGCGCTTTCGCTGGACTAGTAAGTATCCCACGCTATGCACGGGCGGTTTTATATCTTAATTTTTTTTAAAAAAAAAAATTGTTTTAATAGTGTATTAGCCCGTTGACCAGTTAATATTAAAATAAATAATATTTTAAAATATATATTTATTTTTTGATACAGAAATAATAATTTTACTTATTATTATTCATCATAATACTTAAATGTTATTTTATTCTAAAATTTAATTTCATATAGTTTCAGTTCATTATTATTAGTTATAGCACTTATAAAAGTATTATTCTTGCATTAATATTAGTTACTGATGTAATTTATTTTAAAATATATAAGTAACTTTCAAATAAATATTATTCCATATGTGCATTCTATTCAGTATTTAGAATTTATCCTATCTCATAATAATAAAATTAAATCATGTAAATTCTGTTTTATGACAATGTTAAATATATTAATCTTAATATTTTATTTATTTCTTGTAAGCAAATATTTTTTAATGATATGATAGATTATATAAAAGTTAAGATAAAATGGAATGTATCAAAATGTGATCTTTTCTTTTAAATGTTTGAATTTAAATTTTTTTACAAAATTTTCAAAAACACATTTAGGCGGGATATTCAAAATTTTTCAAAAACATTACTATATTTAGTAAATATTTAGGTGGGATTCCTAATTATTTTTTAGTTATTATTCTAGGATTTTTTGGATTGCCTCTTTATATAATAATAGATTTCATATTAATGCCCTTAGAGGAGCAGGCAAGGTGGGTAACTTTTTTATCCATGGTCGTTTGTTAATCTAATAACGTTAAGATAATAATTGTACAAAAATGTAACTTTGCACATCAAGATGTCAATCAGATTACTGAAGAGAATGACACGTAACCCATTGACCAAACCATCTAAAAAGCACCACTTTAAATACATCCTCTAATCACCATTATTCCAGAACTCAATTTTTCAATGAAGTTGCATGCTCAAAAATATCATGCATAACTGCATGCACAAATTTATCCAAGCACACAATTAACTTGAAACTAAGAGATAGTTATTTATCTCTATTCGCTTCTTCAGCTGAGTAGAAAACGGCCAACCTACTTGTGGCCAATTGATACACACCACCACAAAAAACCAAGGGGTATAGTGTAATTTCATCAAATATGTAGCTATCAATTAATCGACAAGCCCTGTAACAGCTACATCATCCAGATTATGCACAGATTGGTACACAGAGCCAACATTAGCTAACAAATCATAAAGGAGGACTCGGTTTTCATGTCTTACGGCTGCTGAAATTGAAATTCGTGTAAAGGAGGATTTTTTTTTTCTTTTTATTGAGCGATAATATGAGAATTTTGAGTGTATAAGAGAATCTGTTTACCAGAGGAGAAGCGAAAGCTGCGAGGGGGAGCTTGTAGTCGGGGTCAGCATTTCGACGGTCATGTCGAAAATTGTGGCACACTGAGATTGGAAAGTTCAAAAAAAGACAATCAATGGAGGTATGAAATGAAGAGAGTCCTTACAAGAGATGGAGGAAAATATGATGAGCTTGGGTCAAGAGCAAGGTAATTTTAGATTGACAAACTGAAATAAGAGCATTGTTAATAACAATAAACATTACTAATTCATTTCCAGTTTGAGCAAGATAAGCCTCAAGAAAAATGAAATGTAAAGGTAAAAGAACCTTTACACAAAAAAACACATAAACACACACACACAAACAGAGAGAGAGAGCTACCGAGAGAAGAATTGTAGTCTATTCTCCCTGTGCATCCTAGAAGGTCACAAATGCAATTTGAGACCGTTTATTATCACTACAGAAGCAAGACACGTGCAATAAATAAGAATGTGTCAAGATTAAGTAATAGAAACAAGAATGTGTATGACTGAGTGTGGGTGTGAAAGAGAGGAAGGGAGGAATATTGACAAACTAAAATAACCTTCGCATCTCCACACATTCAATATCACCAGAGAAGGGGAAAAACTCTTTCACATCACCTTTAGATGCCCCCAGAGAGAGATTACTGACCTTGATAGTTGTGACCTTGGATATTGCAGCGAAGATAGACAACATTAAGATAAGTTTTCCCAAAAAAAAAAAAGTTTGACATATGAAACAAGGATACACAGGTAAAAAGAAGTACGTCTGTCTTTGATACTGCCATTGGTTCACCCATATTCAAATGCAATAACTACTTAAAACAAGTCCGACAGATTTTCCACATCATAGGTGTTGTGCATACAGAATACCTCAGCTTAGTATGCTGGGAAGTTCATCTTTAGGCACCAATACATATTTAACACTAACTTCTCAGTTTAACTTCTCAGTTTAATAGATTTGTTATACAAAGTGGAAAAAGTGGAACTTTTACCTTTTATTATAGGGATCCAAACTGGAAGTAAGCAGAATACCCATAACAAGGATCCTAGACGCCACAAGTCTTTCATCGATTTGTCAGAAATATTCACGTAATCCTGCAATAGTGAAAGCAAACATTCAGAAAAGCTGCACTATTTGATGAGCTCAGAAGTCAAAAGAACAAATGCACAATGAAATCAATGAACTCCAAATCGGCACGACGTCTGTTGCTTGTGGATTTCCACAGTGGAGAAACATATTAAGGATTTTGTATATCTATGCAAATACTACTTGTATTGTCGAGTGAAAAATAGATTCTTCTTCAAGAGAAATACTTTACTTTGTAACATATCATGAAGTACTTTGTCGCGCTTATTTTTATTCTACATTTGTGAGACATGAATACAATTTGAAGTGATACTAAGAATATGAGTTGCTTGGATATTATTTTCATTTATGTTGTGAGGATATTATTTTCACTTTGGATGAGTTTTTGATGAGGAATACAAATATGTTTAGCCGTTCTACACAAAACTAAGCATCACGTTGCTCATGTTCAGAACTTCAAAAGCATAGAGCATCAACCGTGTTAACCAATCCCAACTACATCATTACACCAAAAGCCATACTAAGAATAGGTACAACAATTATTTCAATTAAAAGTAACCAACATCTCAAATAAATTGTCTTAACTGCCCAATAATTGCAAGACACTCTTGAAACAATTCCAACTCGCGGCAAATGCCTTTGATAAGGCGCAATCCATTATATCGTATTTTGTAGGCCCACCATCCTCAACCTGCACATTTAATTGTAACAAAAATCAAAATAAATAATGTGATGAAAAAATAAGCTACTATATTTTCTCACTGCAATAATATCGGGATCTCTGAGATGCTCTATCATATGAGTTGTCATGTTTCGACAACATTCAAGTAAGCCTTCAAAACCCTTTTCACCAATTGGTTGTAATAAACATTCTCCTTGGCTAGCAAATATTCTCCTAACAATGAAAATTGCAATCTCGGCCCATCTCCTTCAAATTTCCTGTTAAACCAATATTTGTGATACCTCCCCATCATCTTAACTGTTTTTCGATGGATTCTCTTTAAATCATTCGTACTCCACTCTTTTTAATACGCACCAACAAAGAACTCGATTTTCGTTCGAGAGTTTAAAATGAAAAAATGAGAAGTCAAGAGTTGGTGGTGTTCGCCACTTACAAAATAAAACAAAACAAATAATGATGTGTAAGAAAAAATATTAAATTTAAATAATTACACTATTTACCTGAGATTCGTATTAACCAAAACATAGAGAAATCTTTGAAACTCAATCGGTACATCCCCATACCGGTAACCCTCCAGCAATTGAGTTCGTATAAAGTACCATAGCAATTAATAGTCATTTTCCTTATTCAAGACAATGAATGTCACTCGCCCAATATTTAAGGACTCCGTCTCGCACAAGATTATTCGGAATGAGACGTTATAAATCATGTGTATGGAGGAATTGTACGAATCATATCATACCGCATGTACTTGGGTTGGTAAAAGTAATCGATCACGGCGCCCCACACCATGGTGTTGATTGCAAATTCAGGGTACTTGGTAATAAACTCCAACAGGGTGGAATCGTATGATGTATAATGCATCCCGTCTTCCTGTCTATAACTTCGATCTTTAAATAATTCTTATGTTTAAACTGGTGGGGCCGGTTCTAAGGGATAACGTACGTAGTTGGCTTGTGTCCAATATCGATACTCGCCGGCAACCAATCATCAGAATGCTCTCCAAACGTATATCTCAAACGAGGTTGTGCTGGCGATGAATGGTTGCCGGCAAGTATCCATCCTTAGACACAAGCCAACTACGTATGTTATCCCCTATCATGAACCGACCCCACCAACTTAAACATAAGAATTATTTAGAGATCGAAGCTATAAACAGAAAGACGAGAAACATTATACACCAGAGATATAACTCCACCCTGTTGAAGTTTATTACCAACAAAGGAGGTACCTTGAATTTGCTATCAAGACCGTCGATGGTGTGGGTCGCAGTGATTGTTTACTTTTACCTACACGAGTACACGCGTAAAATGAATGATTCGAGGTATGGTACGATTCGTGCAATTCCTCCATACGCATGATTTGTCCATTCAAAGTTTTATTCTAGAAGTCCCATTCCAGAAGTCCTTAAATATTGACGAGTGACATTCATAGCCTTGAATAAGGAGAATGACTATTGCTATGGTACTTCATACGGACTCAATTGCTGAAGGGTTACCGATATCAAAATGTACCGATTGAGATTGAATTTTAAAGATTTCTCGATCTTTTGGTTAATACGACTCTCAGGTAAATATGTAATTATTTAAATTTTAATATTTTTTCATTTTCTTTTTTCTTACACATCATTATTTGTATTTTTTTATTTTCTAAGTGACGAACACTCCTAACTCTTGGCTTCTCATTTTTCCATTTTAAATTCTCGGATAAAAATCGAGTTCTTTGTTGGTGCGTATTCAAAAGGGTGGAGTACGAAGGATTTAAAGAGAATCCATCGAGAAGCAGTTAAGATGATGGGGAGGTATCACGAATATTGGTTTAATAGGAAATTTGAAGGAGATAGGCCGAAATCGCAATTTTCATTGTTAGGCGAATGTTTGCAACCAAAGCAGTGGAGAAAAGGGATTTGAAGGATTACTTGAATGTTGCCGAAACATGACAAACTCATATGGTAGAGCATCTCAGAGATCCGCAGTAAGAAAATATAATAGCATTTTTTTTATCACATTATTTATTTTGATTTTTGTTACCCGAATGCTCTCTATACGTAATCCCCAAACGAGGTTGTGCTGTGTGATAGGCATATCCAAAAGAGCACCGAAGTAAACGACGCCCTTAGGTATGCATTTTGAAACATCTAGGACTGAAACTTAAACATATTTTTAACCTCAAAAACACATATGCTTATAGCCTCAACAACACAGCAACAAAAGCTCAGCATAACCAACACAAACAAAGCCTTAAACTCAACACCAAGCACCTCTCTTTTGCTTAAAAATAAAGCATGCGTACAAACTCTTCTAGACTGAAACTTAGGTTCAAGAACACCAACTAATCTCATAACTTTTCAACAAAATACACATACTGAACAAGGCTCAAAGCATTCAAACAAACTCAAGGCAAAAAGGCATATAGGTCACCCTTCCTTTTCCTTCAAAATCAAGCATGATTTTTCTAGCCTTTTTGAAACTGAAACCAAGCATATTAATACACGTAATCTCTGCCAAATATAAGGGGTAAAGGCTCAGCCAAATAATACCTCTCTCGGCTTAACAGAAAAGACTGGCTCGGTTGGCTCTCGGCTCTCGGTTTAGCTGCTGTCCGCCGCCCGAGTCGCCGGCGCTACTTGGTTCTATTTGCCGCCGGTAGTCTGCTGCTCGGTTCCTTGGTCGCCGGCGCTCGGTACGTCGGATGGCCAGAACAATTGGGCGATTTCTGCAAATTTTCTGTGAACTTTTCCGGAGGGAGAATTGAGAGTGGCGGCTGATTGGAGGGCCCGAAAAAATTAGGGCTTGAAGGGGAGGGAGATGCGTGGGTGAGCTCGCCGGATTTCATGGAAGTTGTTAGCCTAGGGCTCCTTCGATGTGTAGCTGCGGTCGATCTGCTGGGAGTGACGAGGTGAGATACTTGGGCCGAATAAAAATAGTAAGATGTTTGCTGAAATGGGCCGAGACCTAAGCTGCTAATGAGTTGAAGCTTTTGGGCCGATAATCAATGTTGTTATTCTGCTGCTGGGGCTACGTAAATGGAGTTTGGGCTGGTTTTCTTAAGCTTTAGGTAATAAAAACTTAGGCTAAATATAAAGGTAAATTAACCACTTAGGAAAATTAATAAATCTGAATTACTAAATACGCCCCACTTTTACTAAAAGACATTTTTGCCTTTAGTATAGAAAAAAATAAATCAAAAAAAGTCACTTCCCATTCACTTGCCCCTTCATCGGCCGAAAAAAAAAAGATTCTTAAAAAAAAAATTCTATCAAAAACTTTGTTTGATTCGAAAAAAATCCAAAAAAAAATGGCGGAACGATCAAATCGCGGCGGCAAGGGCTAGAGGATTCCCCAAGTATTTTTTTTTTTATTCTTTTTTTCAGATGTTCGGGTCGGGCCGCAGGCGTGAGTTGAGATGCTGTGGTGGTGGTCGTGGATTCGGCTCAGCTGCCCATTTTGTGGACTTTTGTATATACTCAGTTTGTATATATTTTGCCACGCTTTACATTTCCGCTGACGTTATTTTCAGAATCAAACTTGCATGCTAGTTTTCAGATTTTATCGGATCTCTATACAGGTCTGGTTGAGTTACATGCTAGTTTGATTAGATTATATATATCTGTTTTTCTTTATGTCTAAACCAGTATTTAGACCAAGTTAAACAAAAACAGATTTTCAGAATAGATAAGTTTAGTAGCATCCCGAGTTAAGTTAAATGATTTCGAAAAATTTATATGTATTTTCAAAATAAGTTGCAAAATTTTTACTCTGATACTAGTAAGTTAGCGGGGTGTTACATGTATATATTAATAATTAAAATATATATTTATATGTATATATATTAATAATTAAATCATATTAATAATTCAAATTAGTAAATATTCACATATATATATATTAATATAGATTAATAAAATTAATATATATTTTAAATTAATATATTAATAAATATAATATATTATATATATAATATATTAGTAAATTATAATTACTAGTGTAATATAAGTTGAAAAATCTATAATTAGTTTGTATAATTACTAGTGTAATATAAGTTGAAAAACTATAATTACTAGCAGGATTATTCTTATGAGTCGGCACCCGGGAGTCTGTAGGATGATGATGATGAGGACTATGCCCATTCATATGAGCAGGAGGAGCAGAAGCAGGACATTCCATCTCCTCCTCCCCCACCAGCACAGACTGTTGCACCACGTGTTCGAACTGGACGACGTGATCCTCCACGACAGGCTGGAGGCCGTTATGCAGGCACTGCATCATCCTCAAGTAAATAATTTACGTATTTATTGTTCTTTATCATTATATATTTTTTATTTAATAATAGCATCTCATTGATACAGTCACTCACAGTATGTTGTATGTATATATATATATGTGTGTGTGTGTGTGTTCTTTTGTAATACAGCTTCGAGTAGCAAACGAGCTAGAAGTGATCAACTTAAGCCACCTTAATCCCAACCTAGAACATTAGTGCATAATGTAATCCAAGCAAATCATTAACCATACATAAATCTCCCTTGAAGCCTAACTGGACTACTAACTACAATACTTTATAAGCAAGTATATAATGAAGTTCGGCAAAGTTGTATTACATAACTTGAGCATCTCAATGATAAACAAACCAGTCATGTAAATATCCAATTAATTAATGGCTCATTGCTTACCACCACGTGCTTCACAAAAGACCAACACAAAGTTCATGCCGCTCCCCATGCACAAAAGACTACCAAAAAAGTTCACATTGTTCTGCTTGCAGGCTGGATGGATTTCCTCCCAATAATATGAAGACATGCATCAATTAATTAGCTTCGTCAGAAATAATAAAACAAAAATTTTGTCTACCCCTTTGGATCCAAGAATCAAGTGGTATTAAGACCATATTTTGCTTGTAGGAGTGGATGCTCCATGTAAAGTCTATGTCTAAAACCACGCGTTGCACGCTTTATAAAATAAACTAACTGGTGTGTTATTTACAATATGAACATATTGATTAAAACAAAAATATAAGCAATTATTAAAATTACACTAGTGTGTGAGCAACTCTAATGCAGGCTATTTGGGATCAAAGGGACAACAGTTGAAAGTAAAGAACACGCAACTCAAATAAACTAAAGACTCTGCTCCTTTGATTCTTTTTCATTCATTACACTAGAGTGTGAGCATGCAGATAATAAAGTTGCACAAACATTCCATGACATGCATTCAGGCATGTCATCTCATGATAAATTTAAGAATAATATCATAACCAAAATGATTCATAGCGCAAATTCATGGATTTTTATCATAGGACTTAACAAAGAAGAATTGCTTGCAGTTCAAATTACTGACCCTGGGGTGTAGCTGAAGTGGACTCGCATATCTATCTTCAAGGCTAAGGTGGCTTCTTAATGGAAGTCATTTGTTTCCACTTAACTGGTCAACTCGCCAAACATTTTCCCCACCAACTAAAGAGAAACAAGACCACATGCTTAACAACAGATGACCAAAATCTCTGGATGCTTACCGTGTTGTTAGAAGTTAATGGAATGCAGCAATTATTTTTTCAAGAAAAAGAAGATAAAATTATTTCTAGGCAAATTAGAATGAGCCTGAATATTCAAATATTTCAAACGAAGAGAATAACAATCAAATTTAGACTTTGGATATAAACAAGAATACTTAAAATTTAGAATAACAATCAACTAATTGTGACTAAGAATTGAACTTTTGGTTTTAAAACATCTTTTTGCCATAACTCACAATTTGAATGTCACATGGTTCCCGTATTATAGAACCATTAGCTTCCTACATTCATTATTGGTTCCAAGTCAGCAACAACAACAGTAAGCCAAATAAAAATTATATTTTTTATAATAATGTAAAGTGAAAAAAAAAAAAAACTTGTTATGTTTGCAGGGTAAAGCCCACCACTGTGCACTCCTTCCATTAATCAAACCACCTCCTTGCATTAACATCTCATCAACTCTGTAACATACCAGCCATTGTCGCCTGCTGTTATTTTTCGGCAACAAGTCGGGCCCATCGTCCAGCGCTACAGTCCCGTCTACCTTATCCAAACACCACAATGAATGCAAAAAAAAAAACAAAAACAAGAAAGAAAAATGCAAAATTCAAGGTTCGTGTCAAAATCACCTGAAAAATGAACCATTCTGATAGGGGCCGGTGAATATGGTCGGCTGGATCATGAATATATAGCCGTAAGGCATGAGCAGGACACCTGAGTTGGTCCCACACGTGACAAGACTAACCATTACTTTGGTGGCGGCGAAAGTTTGATCTTCATGTTTTGTGCAGTAATTGTCTTCCGACTGGTGAAAATTTGAAGAGTCATACTTACATTCCATTTAGCACTTTGATGTTGTAAAAGAAAAACCAATGCAGGCTAATAGGACCCACGATTGCAATCTGAACAAGAAGACTTCTAGTAAATAAATTGGCAATCATATAGCACTTCTTCCAATCCTGGACGCCCCAATTTTCTTCCCAGCCTAAACAATAAACCAAGGGAAAAATTATACTCTTCATAAATATTCAATAAAAGTGTAAACGCGTGAACTCGTTCTCAACACAGTACCTACACTATGGTTCAGCCTTTTTATTGTAAAAAAGAATCTCAAAGTGCGTCACGAACTTCCTCTCGAATTTGTCCAAGAACTCGAGGTACAACTGTACAAACCGAGGGGTAAGACAATACAAAACTTTAAAAGAGAGTTGCTTTGTACAGGGTATTGGTATGTTTTACTTAGTTCGGACAAAAGTCGGGGTGTCTTTTGTAGCTATATTCTTGTTGTTGCTTATCAGAGGAAGTTAGAATAAGAAAATTGGTTTTTGTACAAACGACCAACCAGACCTTTTGAGGAAAGTGCTTCGTGTCAAAAAACATGCTTCATTGCCTGGACATGTTTCCCGATGGCATAATTTGCATATATAGCTGGGAATATAAGAAAAAAGTTGAAGAGATTGTATTAGAGAAATATAATTTCAATTTAAGAAAAGAAAAATGGAATGCCCGAATCCAGTTGAGGAGCCTGAATGATTTTAGAGAATAGAAATTTAGGTAAAACTTACATGGTTAGACACATCAGAGTGGTCCCTCCAAGTCAATCCCTCACCAATGGCAAAATGTCGTATATTAAAGCAGAAACTGTTACGTATATTAAAGCTAGTATTAATACTATTAGAAGGTGTTTCAACAGATAATATGAAAAAACTTTGATATGTCAAGATTTCGGAGAAAACTTGTCTGTAATATTCAAAAAAAGTGTGATGCTAATGTCTTACATATCAGCCACTAACTGGATACCCCTCTCTTTACAAGTCTATTATGATGTTGTCTGTAGATATATATGTCCTTCAGTAACATATCATGTGAGATCCGGAGTAGAATGTGTAATCTCAGAAGAATTGAACGGAAAACATTAGCATAAATATAACCAAGATGTCCACGTTTTCCCGGTGCTTCCTCTCGAGCAGCAGACACCGGAGAACAAAATTGGATCAATCACAGTCACCACGCCATTTTGAATTTTGAAATCACAGTCACCGGAGAATTTTGAATCTAAAACTGTATGTAGCCATTATTTTTTTT